TCATGATGGAAGGCATGGCATTTGAGCATAATAAATGAAACTAAATGGAAAAAAAAAAAAAGGAAGATTTACATTCAGAACATTCAATTCTTATGTATTTACGTATCTAACACCTAAACTTTAAGGGTTAGAAATGTAAACAATGTTATTTCACTTTTTTAAAAGTTAAAATGATTTGGGTGGATTAAATATAAACAACAAAATTTAAGGGTTAGAAATGTAAACAATGGATTTGAAAAATTAACATATACATAATAAGAGTTGTTAATCTCCAACTAGCAACAGTGCAGCAATTGACAAAATAATAATAATAATCATGACGATGACGACGACGACGACGACGGCATACATTAAGGATTTAAGGGGAATATTTTGTGTAAATTTTGGTAAATAGCCGATAGAATTTTGCTTGAAGGGACCTTAAAGAAGCAAAAAATTACCACAAATATTGGGTTTGTCAGGTTTGTCTAGATTCAGCATGAAAAGTAGCTCTCATGATTTAATGACTGAATAAGAGCTGGATAAGCAAACGAGTTCAAGATAGCCAAATGGTAGATTTGTAAGGGCTAAAGATTAAAATGAGCTGTTGATGCTAACAGTTGAATTTGTATGGGGCCCCTATGATACAGTATAGTTTTGGCAGTACTTAAAATTATGTCATGATTTTGATTAGAAGTGTAACAGGATGGGTTAGATAGATTACAAAAGACAACAATGAAATTAGGAGTATATCTGCAGCTTATTGAATAATCTGTTGATAAGCTGATTAAAAATAATCTACTGATAAGCTAGGTGTGGTGGCTATTAGAAATTTTTATTTTTTTGGAAAAGCCAAACCGCTGCCAGGAATCAGCCACTGCAACTAGATAGGAGCGGTGTGAAAACACCACTTTTAGCGTTTTCAAAACGCATAAGCTGCCAAAACACAATTTAACCAAGCCGTCCAGGTGCGTTTTTAAAACTCCACCGCACCAAATAAGCTGCCCCAAACGGATCTTTAGTTAGGAAGATTTACATCCATGCCACTCAATTCCTATGTATTTACATAACTTCAATTTTTACCTTTGCATGAACATGAGTATTTCACTTTTTTTCAAAGTTAACTTGACGGTATTTTTGATGTGAAATATTTTTAAGTTAGAAGAATGCTTAAGGTGTGATATTCAAGTGGGATGAAACACCATATGATTAAAGCAATCGAAGGAAATATTATACATGCAGTAAATTTATTACAAATAATAAAATTTTACAGTAACTGCAGAGTCAATGCACTACTAAATAATATCTTGTTGCCAAATTCTAAAATTCAAAATGTTACACATTTTTCAACTCAAGGCAGGAAAACAACAATTAAGCAAGATAATAAAAGTTATGATGAAAAAAATTTCTTTATAATTATCCCCAATTGAAAATATATATTATGTATTTATACACACTCCTTGTTCTCTAGGTCATGAATAACTAAGATACAAAACAAATCATGTAAGTAGATCTCATCTAATTAGGTTGTCTGATATCAAGTTTCCTAATATACAAGATTCATATTTACGACTTGTCATAACACTCCACCCTAAGCTGGAGCTTAAATATTTATCATGTCCAACTTGTTATAAATATAAGTGGCCCTAGTTCCATTAAGAGACTTTGTGAAGATATCCCCTAACTGTTCCCCAGTCTTCACATAAGCTATAGAAATTAGATTCGGTTGAATCTTTCCACGAACAAAATGACAATCTAGATCAACATGTTTAGTTCGTTCATGAAAGACGGTTTGAGGCCATATAGATTGCAGTATGGTTATCATATCACAAATTTGTAGGAACTGTCATCTTAGAACCTATCTCGGTCAAGAGTTGGGATACCCACATTAATTCACTCGAAGCTCGTGACATCGCTCAATGCTCAGATTCAACATTGGACTATGACATTACATTAAATTTCTTATTCTTCCATGAGACCAAATTAACACCAACAACTAGTAGTGGATTTTCAGCAATCTTGAAACATGCCCAATCTGCAGCAGAGAAACATTCAATAATCTGCAGCAGAGAAACATTCAATAATGTGAAGTAGTTTAGAAACATTCTATGCCCATGTTCCTAATATAAAATACCTAATACCTTGTCAAAGAGCTCCCTTGAGGTAACATAGTATTTGCTCCAAAACTGACCAATAATGGACTATAGGGGAAGACAAATTGATTTATAGTGCTATTTGAATACACAATGTCAGGACAAGTTACCGTGAAGTAGTTTAATTTTTCTAATAACTTCATACATAGTTCAAGATCATTAAAAAACTCTCTATCCTTGGTAACCTTGGTAAGTTGCTGAATAAAAAAACATCAAAGTACTGCATGGGTTGACCCATAATTTCCTAGTTTCTGCTAAAAAATCCAATACATACTTCTATTTTGATAAAAAGATACCCTTCTTGCTCCTTGATATCTCAATCCCTAAGAAATACTTCAAGGAACCCAGCTCTCTAGTGCTAAATTGATTTTGAAGAAATGATTTCAATGATGAGATTGTCTGCATATCTTTTCTAATAATAATAATGTAATCAACATAAATCACTAATAGAATGACTCCTGATACAGATTTTGTATAGAATACAATGTGATCACTCTCTTTTTTTGTATCTGAAACCCTTCCACTACTTAGCTAAATTTTTGAAATCATACTCGAGGGCTTAGTATAATTTTTCTACTGATTTTTCTACTAACTTCCTATACAATCAAGATCATTAAAAAACTCTCCATCCTTGGTAAGTTGTTGATTAGAAAACTTCAGAGTACTGCATGGTTTGACCCCTAATTTAATAGTTTTTGCTAACAAATCTAACACATACTTCAATGGGGATAGAAATACACCCTTTTTGCTTCTTGATGCCCCAATCTCTAAGAAAGACCTCAAAGAAGTGTTGAATTGATTTTGAAGAAATAATTTCAATGATAAGATTTCCTGGATATTGCTTCTAGTAATAATAATGTAATCAACATCACTAATAGAATGATTCTTGAAACAAATTTCTTATATAATACAACGTGATCACTTCAATTTTTTTGGATCTAAATCTCTTCCACTACTTGGCTAAATTTTCGAAGCCTTACTCAAAGGTTGTGCTTCAATACATATAAGAAGTTCCGAAGAAGACATATTTTCCCAAACTCCCCTTGAGAAACAAACCCAGGAGGTTGCTTCATGCATACAGCCAATGCACGGGCCAACTACTCATTGTAGCCAAGGACGGGAGTAGGCAAACCAAAGTAAACTTAGCTGCATAAGTTTGAGCCCAACTGAGCTTCAAATGATGTGCCTGTCCAAGAGAGAGAAAAAGCATCAAATCGTGGAAATCCTATAAGTTTGAGAATAGCCCATAGGAACCAATTGAGCTTCGAAATGAGCTACAGATCCATAAGATTGAAAATTAAATCGACAAACCCACTTACAACCAACAACCTTCTTGCCACAAGGCAGTACAACTAAATTCTAAGTTCCATTTTAAGTTAAGGCATTCATCTCAGCAAATATTATTGCCCGCCACCCAGAATGGGATAGAGCTTGTTGAACAGATCTTGGACCTCAACAGAGTCAAGAGAAGCAATAACGGAGCAAGAATTGGAAGATAATTGATTATAGTTAACACAAGAAGAAATGGGATAGACACATTGACGTTTAACTCTTCGAAGAGAAATGGATAAATCAAGGTCACTGAGAGGAGGATCAACTCAGGAAACATTAGGGATAGATGGTCTAGGTTGAGGCATTGGAGGTGGAGGTAGAGGTGGAGCTGGAGCTGGATTTTAACTTATGATGTGATACATTAACAACTCATCATAAGTTCCATTTTAGGTTAAGGCATTCATCTCATCAGACATTATTGCCATCCACCCATAATGTGATAGAGCTTGTTGAACAGAACTTGGAACCTCAACAAAGTCAAGAGAAGCAACAACAGAGCAAACATTGGAAGATAACTGATTATAGTTAACATAAGAAGAAATGGGATAAATATATTGACGTTTGGCTCTTCGAAGAGCAATGGGTATGTCAATGTCATTAAAAGAAGGATCAACAAAGAAAGATGAAACTGTTGTCGAACTACAATCAGCAGAATGAAGTCTTCTTCAATAAACATTAGTGATGAATGATTTAGGTTAAGGCATTGAAAGTGGAGGCGGAGTTAGAGCATAATTTGAACTTATGACGTGATACATTAACAACTCATCATAATCTTGTGAGGATTTAGGCACCGTTGAATCACAAAAAAGAAGTTTGTTTATGAAAGGTGATATCAGTAGAAATCATGTACATGTTCAAGAGAGGGAAAAAATATCAACACCCTTTCTACAAACAAAATTATTCTAGAAAGACACAACTTAATAACTTAGAATTCAGTTTAAACTTGTGGACGAGTATCATGAACAAAACAAGTACACCCAAATATGTGTGTTTCAATAGGAAAGAAATAGTTAAAAATAAAATTCAATAGGGTGCTGGTTCTATGAAACAGTAGAATGTATCAAATTAATAAAAAAAAACATACAATAGAAACTGCATCAACCCAAAACTGTTTAGGCGCATTCATTTGAAACAAGAGGTCTACCCGTCTCAAAAAATATGTCTATGTTTCTTTCAGCCACTCCACTTTGGAATGGAGTATCAATACATGATGCTTGGTCAAACATCTCGTTTTGCGTTATTTACTTCTAAAAGGGTGCAGAGTGCAACAAAATATTATTTGGTATTGTCACTTCTTAGAACTTTAACTGAAACATTGAATTGATTTTTAATTTTGGCACAAAACGATTGAAAATGTGACAATAACTCAGCACAAAATTTTATAAAGTAAAGTCAACAAAAAAGTAATCCACAAAAGTGATAAAATAATTACATTCATTAGATAAAATAGAACAAGATCCCCACACATCAGAAGGAACCAACACAAAACTATGACTTACTCTTGTATTAACTCAATGAATAAAATATAAACAATGGTGTTTAGTAAACTAACACAACTCACAATGAAAAGATGATAACTATTGAAACTTAGGATACAATTTTTTCATTATTTTAGGATGGATGTCCTAATTGATAGCAAATTTCAAAAGATGATGAGATATAAAACAGGTTATGGGTTAAGGTACCTCATTTTCCAAAATGTAGGTTCTCGTTCTTTACCAAAATGTAGGTTCTCGTTCTTTTACCAAAATCTTCTAATATAGATAATGGTTGACAAAAAATAAGATGCAACAATTAAGAGCACGTGTAATTTTGCTAAAAGAAACAAGATTAAAAGTGAATTAAGGTAAATTGACAACAAAAGTTAAAGACAATGTGGATGTACTATTGATGGTGCCAAAACCAAAAATATTAAAGGTGGATCCATCAACTAAAGTGAAAGAAGACGTGTGCTTATGAAAGATAGAAAAGAGTTGTGGATTACGGGTCATGTGATCCGCAACATTAGAATCAATTACTCATTGAGCGGAAGATGAAAGAAGACTGGTGTCATTGTTACCTAACAGAGCAAGGGCAGTGATACATGGGGATTTCTTCGATACTTCTTGAAATTCAATGAACTTAACATATTTGTCTTCAGACATTGACAGAGTCTGACTCATAGAAGTCTCATTAGTAGTGACCATGTGAGCTAATTGTGATGTAGAACCCTGTTGATTTTTTTTAGCAACTTATGACACGTTCTCTTCATATGATCAGGTTCATGACAGTAAAACACACCACTTTTGACCCTTGATCTCTAGAATCCAGAGTTCCAATTTTGTAATAGTTTTAAAAAGAGGTTTACTTATGTCTGTAATTTTTTTAACACCAAAAACACTAGGTTATTGTACAGATGATGCCTGAGAACTCTGAATAGTACGCAATACTCTAGTATAGGTTTCCCTCAAAGTAGCACATCCAAAGTCAGATAAGATCTGTGATTTGATACTTTCACACTGAGAGTTGAGGTCAACTAGAAAAACTCATAATAGTCATTTGTTTTTTTTTTGAGCCTGCTGAATCCAGACATCGGTACTGAGGGGCATTACTGTGTTCAATTCTTTATACAAATGCTTAAAGTGCATGCGATATGTTTTCTCCCATAAAACACATGCAAATTCCTCTAGCGCATCTTTAACACAATCAAAATGAATAATATGACCAGATTGATCAGATTCGATGGAGTTCCGTATTTGTATCAATAGTTGGGCATGGGCATCCACTCTCATTCCCTCGGAATAATTCAACCGTCTCAATTAGGAGATTATCAATGAGGTGATTTTCTTGAGAAATACTCCTTAAATAGAGTCAAGACTTTATTCCAGTAAAAATAATTGATATAATTTAACTTTTTCATATGTAATCTTAGCCACTAATGAAACCAAAATTGTCACAAGATGTTTGTGCTTAACGGCCATAATTAATGTCATTTAGTGATGAGGATGAACTGCCAAAGTAGTAGGACACAAATAACTCGAAAGATCGCCAAATAAAGAGAAACAATTGAACCGACAAAGCCACACAAAACTAATTTACCAAGTTTTTCTTTACAATTGAACCGGCAAAGCTAAAAGTAATAGGACACAAATAACTCGAAAGATCCACGAGTATAAGATTTGAGTGCTCCTACTATCCTAAAAAAAATTTAGCATTGATTTCCATACAAAACTAATTTACCAAGTTTTTCTTTTAAAATCTTGATAGAATAGAAGGGTCCTGGCTTTTATTTGACAGTCTGAAGCTACAATTTAATGGTAACATTGATAGATTAAATTAAACAATCAAATTGCTAAATTTTCAAATACTAAAACAGAAGACATTTAGCTTGAAAAGTTGCAATTTGATTGATTAAATACATGTAAAACTTAAAACCTTATATAAGTTATTTACCAATAGAATGTAGAAAAACTTATACATAGCACTCAATTCCTATGTATTTGCATATCTCACACCTAAATTTCAATTTTTACATACGCGTCACTTTATATATGCATGAAAAGGTGTATTTTACTGGGTAAAAGTTGAAATGACATCATTTTTTGAGTGATATGAAAGATTTGGGTGGTATAAATGTAAAAAACAAAGTTTAAGTGTTAGATATGTAAATACATAAGAATTGAGTGGTATGTATGTAAATGTCCCTGTAATGTAATCAATCAGTTGCAAGCAAAACGGCAGAGGCATATAAGCAATTTAAAAGCTATCATACAGCTACTTTGGGTGACAAGGTATTACCTTAATTCTTTCATACTCTCTGGTAGCGCAATCCCTTTTATCTTCAGTAACCATTATTGTTCGTCTTATCACATCAAGTTTTTGCATTCTCGACTCATCACTACCAAATACCCTGGCAGAGGCAGCTTCAAGCTTTTCAGCCCTCGCACGTAAAGAAGACAAATCTGATAGAAGTGTTTGTACTGTCAATAAAGCATTGGATCGTTCAGAAAATGCATTTTGAATGCTTAACATCAACCCCATATGTTCATGAAGAGTGTCCTGCTAAGATGTTTAAATATTAGTGGATATGCTTTCAACAATAAACAACATATCATGAGACTTCTAACATATTTTGTGAGAAAATTGTCAAAATGTTCCTCTTGACTCTTTGTATGGGTACATTTTAGCCCCCAAGTATATATAAGTGTCAATTTTGTCACTAGGCTCTTTTAATATGGGTATTTCAGCTCATAATAAAAGAGTCCAAGGACAAATTTGACATGTTTATAGATTGGGACTAAAATGACTTCATGTAAACAATCAAGGGACTATTTTGACGCATTAATCCTTATTTTGCACATTATTACCAGGTGTTTAATTGTTTGGGAATTCAATTCTCGGTAAAATCGGCTTGCTTTAACAGCAGCAGTTGCGACTATTTTGGCATCAGCAGCTCCAACTCTTTGAGACGCGTATATGGCCTCATCATTTTCCAACTTTATCAGTTTAATGAATGCCAAACCCAACTCGCCCATTGCTTCTCCAAGATCATGTTGTGTTTTAACCAGCGACTCTGCCTGCATCAAAGAAGGAATAAAAGGTGAAGCCAATAGAAGAATACCAGATTAAGCTAAGCCAAACGATATGTCTTGAGCTAGGTAAAGAGTTTCTAAATAAACCATCCTTAAAAAATTTGGGTCATTTATATACATATGATGCAATTCCTAAGTATTTATGTACTTAACACCTACACTTTGATTTTACATTAACACTGCCCAGATCATTTATATCACATCAAAAATACCATTATTTTAACTTTTAAAAAGTGAAATATACATTTTCATGCATAGTTAAGGTGGCGTATAGGTAAAAAATTGAAGATTAGGTGTTAGATTTGTAATTACAAAAGAATTTAGTGGTATGTATGTAAACTTTTCAAAGAAAATTCATGCCCTTAATGAGCTGAATACTTAAGTGGCATTTGCCACAAATTTTATGCTAGCTTATAAAATGAAATTGACCATAAACTTGGTGAAAATTTTTTAAATCTTGAACAAGTCAGCTCTAAGAAAATGCCAACAGCTGATTCTAATCTGACAAATTTCCAGGGACTAAATTGGACTTTCCTCGAGCCTACAAATATAACCTCTCACAGAGTGATAACACAAGTTCTACTACATGCATTTTAAAATTCAGTCAATTACATTTGGATTGTCTTTTTCCAGTTTAGCTCGATCCATAATTCCTAAGTATAAAAATTTAGTTGTCTGTTAAGATGGAGAAGTTTGAACTTATGCTTTAGTATGCGATCAAGTAAACTCCAATATGAACTTAAAAATACAGACGATCATAAATCATATTCAATACTAAGATTTTAGAATCTATATTTGTATGCCAAAAAATCCTATAAATAAGGCTAGTAAAGGCACTGACACAATCATGGTAAATATATATATATATATATATATA